TAAAAAAGAAGACGTTTGACACAATAAACATTTAAAACAGTTTGTTATCTTTTAAAATATTTTTGGGATTTAAAAGTTGAGAGGTGCTCTTATTAGATATCGAAGTAACTATACAATAAGTAACAGTTACAGGCGTTTTCGTTCATATGACAAGCGTACATTTTCTATTATTTCGGCACAATGTTTATCTTGTTTTAAGAAACATAGTATACGTATAAAATTATCAAGCATAAATTAACCTTATGGAAACAGTTTTACGTGTTTTCACAGTGGGATTGAAATGCTTTTGTCTTGTTCTCGCCGAGGATGAAATTTCATGCTCTAAACTGAGGTCTGTCTACCAATACCTCGATCCACACAAAGATAAAGGCACGAACTCTAGAAATTCAATGATAATTAAGTGATAATAAAGTGTTATCCTTAACAATACTAGAGAACACTTCAGCTAACGCAGAAACACCTAAAATAATTCACTAGTGGTTAACAATACTAGAGAACACTTCAGCTAACGCAGAAACACCTAAAATAATTCACTCCATTAGTGAATTATTTTAGGTGTTTCTGCGTTAGCTGAAGTGTTCTCTAGTATTGTTAACCACTAGTGAATTATTTTAGGTGTTTCTGCGTTACGTATTCACGTATTCTCTATAAACTATTAGAAACTAAAGTATGTCAGTAAAATATGACGTAAATAGCACATTGTGATGATAACAATCTTCACGTATTCTCTATAAACTATTAGAAACTAAAGTATGTCAGTAAAATATGACGTAAATAGCACATTGTGATGATAACAATCTTCACGTATTCTCTATAAACTATTAGAAACTACTAGTTTCGTGTATTTTTTTTCGTTTATTTGTTTAGATAAACAAATATTTGAGTAAACAGATGAAAGAGTAATGACATTAACTGAATGAACTATTTTGAAATCAAAATCCGAATTTGATAGCCTTCAGTTCGTATAGAACAACAACAACAACAAAACCGATTACAGCTCGCGCTACACCCCCCCCCCAAGTAATAAATATAATTACTTCCCCCCCCCCACCCCAAGTAATAAATATAATTACTTTCGGATCCTTAATTTCCCGCTGTTTAATTCGAAAAAAAAAATCATTGTTCATCTTTAAACCGTTTGTGATCTATAAATTAACACAGATCTCAACTGTATTCAGACTAAACAGTTACAAGTAAACAAACAAATTCGAGCTGAATAGAGAAGTTATTTTGGAGTAACACCTTTTACTTTTTTCTTTACAGATCTTTACCGACATTAGGAAACTATTGAAGTACACCTTTTTAAGTAAATCATTTTCATCCGTATATATATTATCTAATATGGATCCAAAAAAACGTTAACACCAGAAAGGATTTGCTTTTCAGAAGTGCGTCGAGTAGAACGCGATAGAACTTGGGCATACTTGAAAATGCAAGACACCCCCTACTGGATAATTGAATCTAATTTTAAGTTGATTAATACTTTCACGTAAATGGTTGTAATTTATCTCACGATAGCTGTAACTTCGAAAAGTGTGTAAGAAAAAAAAAAGGCAACTAAATTAAATTTGGTAAAAAGAATGTGGCTTTATCTGTAACGCGGTACGTAGAGGTTCGATTTAGACTGTTAAAGAAAAGACGCCGTCTATGTGTTGTCTAATCAGACTAGAATTTGCAATGAATAAATGAAGTAGTATATGTCTTGTCTGATCAGACTACATCTACCAAGTAAACAGATTACCACATGCTCGCCTAATCAGACTGAAATCTTTACCAAATAAACAGATTACCGCATGTTAGGCTAATCAGACTGTAACTTTTACCGAGTAAACAGATTATCACATGCTAGCCTAATCAGACTGTAACTTTTACCGAGTAAACAGATTATCACATGCTAGCCTAACCAGACTGTAACTTTTACCGAGTAAACAGATTACCACATGCTAGCATAATCAGACTGAAACCTTTAACAAATAAACAGATTACCGCATGCTCGCCTAACCAGACTGTAACTTTTACCGAGTAAACAGATTACCACATGCTAGCATAATCAGACTGAAACCTTTAACAAATAAAC